GTGGGGCCGGGGGTGTATCCAGGGTGTGTGGGGCTGGCTGTGAGGTCTATAGGGCCAGCTGGAGGGGGATGTCTAGGGCTGGCTATAGGGCTTGTGGGGCTGGTTATAGGGGCTGTGGAGCTGGGTGTAGGGCTTATGGGGCTGGCCCTATGGCTTGCGGGGCTGGTTATAGGGCCTGTGGGGCAGGCTATAGGGCATGTGGGGCAGGCTATAGGGCATGTGGGGCAGGCTGGGGTTGTCTCGGTGGCCCGGCTGACAGCGGTTGTGGGGTGGGGGGAGCAGTTATGGGGTGCAGGGATCCATGGGGCAGAGGGCAGAGCGGGATGAGTTCCCCCAACGCCGTGGGGCAGAGGTTGTGGGGTCGTGCTGCTTCCTGGGGGACCCCCCAGCTCTGCCCTGCCTTTGGGGCACGGCCGTGGGGCGGGCTTGCCCCATAGCCCCATAGGATCGTGCCCCACTGCGTCCCCCCACAGTCCCCACTTCCCCTTTGGCCGCCCCACGGTGGGGCCGGTTCCTCCTCCTGCTGCTGGGGGGGGCACAGCCCCAGGGTGTGTGGGGCTGGCTATGAGGGTATAGGGCCTGTGGGGCTGGGTATAGGGCCTGTGGGGCCGGGGGTGTATCCAGGGTGTGTGGGGCTGGCTATGAGGTGTATAGGGCCTGTGGGGCTGGTTATAGGGCCTGTGGGGCTGGGGGTGTATCCAGGGTGTGTGGGGCTGGCTCTGAGGGATATAGGGCCTGTGGGGCTGGGTGTAGGGCTTATGGGGCTGGGCCTAGGGCTTATGGGGCTGGGCTTAGGGCTTGTGGGGCTGGTTATAGGGCCTGTGGGGCCAGGGGTGTATCCAGAGTGTGTGGGGCTGGCTATGAGGTCTATAGGGCCTGTGGGGCTGGGTATGGGGCCTGTGGGGCCAGGGCTGTATCCAGGGTGTGTAGGGCTGGCTATAAGGTGTATAGGGCCTGTGGGGCTGGGCATAGGGCCTGTGGGGCTGGGGGTGTATCCAGGGTGTGTAGGGCTGGCTATGAGGGGTATAAGGCCTGTGGGGCTGGACCTAGAGCTTGTGGGGCTGGGTGTAGGGCTTATGGGGCTGGGCCTAGGGCTTATGGGGCTGGGCTTAGGGCTTGTGGGGCTGGTTATAGGGCCTGTGGGGCCAGGGGTGTATCCAGAGTGTGTGGGGCTGGCTATGAGGTCTATAGGGCCTGTGGGGCTGGGTATGGGGCCTGTGGGGCCAGGGCTGTATCCAGGGTGTGTAGGGCTGGCTATAAGGTGTATAGGGCCTGTGGGGCTGGGCATAGGGCCTGTGGGGCTGGGGGTGTATCCAGGGTGTGTAGGGCTGGCTATGATGGGTATAGGGCCTGTGGGGCTGGGTGTAGGGCCTGTGGGGCTGGGTGTAGGGCCTGTGGGGCTGGGGGTGTATCCAGGGTGTGTGGGGCTGGCTATGAGGGATATAGGGCCTGTGGGGCTGGGTGTAGGGCTTATGGGGCTGGGCTTAGGGCTTGTGGGGCCACCTATAGGGCCCGTGGGGCTGGGGGTGTGTCCAGGGTGTGTAGGGCTGGCTATGAGGTCTATAGGGCCTGTGGGGCTGGGTGTAGGGCCTGTGGGGCTGGTTATAGGGCCTGTGGGGCCGGGGGTGTATCCAGTGTGTGTAGGGCTGGCTATAAGGTGTATAGGGCCTGTGGGGCTGGCTATAGGGCCTGTGGGGCTGGGGGTGTATTCAGGGTGTGTAGGGCTGGCTCTGAGGTCTATAGGGCCAGCTGGAAGGGGATGTATAGGGCCGGTTATAGGGCTTGTGGGGCAGGCTATAGGGCCTGTGGAGCTGGGTGTAGGGCTTATGGGGCTGGCCCTATGGCTTGTGGGGCTGGCTATAGGGCCTGTGGGGCTGGCTATAGGGCCTGTGGGGCTGCTTATAGGGCCTGTGGGGCTGGTTAGAGGGCCTGTGGGGCAGGCTATAGGGCCTGTGGGGCAGGCTGGGGTTGTCTCGGTGGCCCGGCTGACAGCGGTTGTGGGGTGGGGGGAGCAGTTATGGGGTGCAGGGATCCATGGGGCAGAGGGCTTTGAGCGGGACGAGTTCCCCCGACGCCGTGGGGCAGAGGTTTGTGGGGTCGTGCTGCTTCCTGGGGGTCAGCAGAGAGCGGGGTTGGTTATTTTTTAACCCGGGTGGGTGGTTTTCACCCCATTTTTTCCTGCCCCCCCCCCCCCCCCCCAAAACAAAAAAACACACCCC